TTTCTGAAAAATATAGAATCGAGGAAGATCCACATAAACTAAGCTTTCTGGGTTATTTGAAGCTGGGGGGAGATGGCTTTACCCTTCCAAAACCTACTTTTTTGATGGGCTGGCTATTGCACTTAGTGGCTTTCCATATCCCCATTCTTGCCCCCTGATATTATGCTTTTTGCTAGACAAATAAACTTGAGATTAACCCAATTAGGCTCTGGTTGACAGATTTCCAGAAATAGATGTATTCGAAAACATTCCTAATAGTTACTTATGTGTGGGTTGCTTTGTTGTGACTGGAATTTGTGGCCGTAACTGTTTTGGTAGTTATTCGTTGTCTAATCCCTTCTTCCCTTGTTCCTTTCTCAGAGGACCTACCGAGCCATGTATGATTATAGTGCCCAGGATGAAGATGAGGTCTCCTTCAGAGACGGCGACTACATTGTCAACGTGCAGCCCATTGACGATGGCTGGATGTACGGCACGGTGCAGAGAACTGGGAGAACGGGGATGCTCCCAGCCAATTACATTGAGTTTGTTAATTGATTCTTTCTCCTTGCCCTTTGAGCTTTATTCTAATGTATTCTAAACCGATCTTTTTAAAAGATAGAAGATACTTTTAAGACAACTTGGCAGTTATTTTACAATAATGTATCCTTCCTTTGGCAATTAGACACACAGGTACCAGGACGAAGGAATGACTTCTGGGCTGAAAATGGCAGCATTTTCAGTAATTCCTCTAAACAAAAATCATTACGTCTGGAGACCTGGTGCTGCTAATTGTGTTCGTGGTTTCCTTTGATTGGCGATTGAACCCTTCTGGAAAATGTATTTTTGTAGACTTTAATAGAGATGTTGATTGTCCTTTAAATGTAACTAGTATATGAAACTTCCTGTTTGTCACTTTGGAGTCACCAGAAGCCAATTCTCTTAACTCAGTAACACAGCCAATAACTTAAAACCTGTTCAGTCTTTCGAGTCATCAGGCAATTTCCAGTTCAAGTGAAAATTGCCCAATATATGTAAGCGGTGGCAGAATGATAGTCTGGTTAAAATTATATTGACTGGCGGCCTTAGGGATCTAGAAACTTCTACCGAACAAAGAAATTTCCTTATTCCTTAGGCCGACCGTAGTCTTTTTATTTTTCATTGATACCAAGACATCTGCTCCCCATTTACATTCTATGGACCCAAGTAGATGCTCAGTTCCACGGAATGTCAGGACCAAACAACCTCACAGCTGCTCTGCAAAGGGCAGATGTTACTGTCATCTATGTAATTTCCCTAGTAGCCTTTACCCTGTTGCATGTCACGTAGGTTCAAGCTTCTGTAACATAGGCAGCTGCACTGCCCATTCCTGTTATTAAAGCAAAAAGGGTGACATACCTAAAAGCCCTTTCCTCTAGTAGCCAGCTCATCCGAAAACATACTTTGAAAAGCTGCTTGAGGTTTTCCTGCTGCATTGCACTCTAGTTTTGAAGGATTCACACCTTAGGAAATACATGTATACTCTAGTAAATAAGTGATTTAGGTGTTTATTGAACAGCTTTCATTAACTTAATGCCACCATTGATTTAAACACAAAGAAAATTTACAGAAGCCAGTGAAAGAATGGATTATAGCATATACTAGGGAAAGAAAAAAACAGCAAACAAAAAATCTACAAACTCCACATAGAGATGATCTGATGTCTTATTTTGGGAAATGGTATTCAGATTCTGAAATGGAAATCTAGCTGCGGAAACTGGTTACTCAAAAGACTTCCCTTCCACTTTCTGGTTTTTATTTTCTAAATCACCTTTGGGAGATGAGATAGGAATGTGATCAGAGATTTTCAGTGCAAGACCAATAGGCTGTTCCCTAAGAAAGAAATTGTCATGTTTTGATTTTCAAATGAGTGACTTTGCAGGCTTTTGCTAGAGTCACATGCACGAGTTCAGCCCTTGCTGGCAGGTCTTAAAATCTCACCTGGAGCCTGCAGTCAAGGTTACCGACACATTGATGCCCAGCGACAATTCTATATTTTTCTGATCGTGACCTGCAACAGGGTAGCATTCATGTGGGGTCTGACTTTATAGTTGTGATGTAACTGAAAAAGCAAAGTTACAAAAATGTACTAAAATGTATGATTCTTGGGGATATCTACCTTGGATGATATATTCGAGGAAATTAACAAAATATCCTGTAAAACATCTTTTATTGAAATATTTGCTAGTCCAAAGGCCATAGCTCATTCATTTACACCTTTGGAAATTTGGCACATACAAATGAAAATCTGTTGTTTTATTTTATTAGGCTAAAAGAGCAAATAAGCTTTATTACACTAAAGCTGCATCTATACGACACTGACATAAAATTGCAAAAAGAAAAATTCAGCTGAATAACCTGAGATTTTTTAGAGGCAGTTTTACAGATTACCAGATAACTAGCTTGACTGATTTTCCTCTTATTGAAATGGCCAGTTGTAATTTAATTGATTAAACCCCATCTTTGTTTTGATGTCTTATACACAAACCTACAAAGACAAACTAAACTTGAGATATTTTTGCAAAAATCTGTGTATTAAAACCGAGAGCAGTAGGCCTGCTCAATTTTGTTGTATTAAGTA